GATCCCTCCATTCCCCCGGGAATGTCCTGATCCCTCCATTCCCCCGGGAATGTCCTGATCCCTCCATTCCCCCAGGAATGTCCTGATCCCTCCATTCCCCCGGGATTCCCTGAGCCCCCCATCCCCTCTGTGCCCCCTGAGCCCCCCATCCCCTGGCTGGATCCCGCTCCCAGAACACGAGTCCTGCATCCCCCTCTGTCCCTGGGATCTCCTGGATTCCCTGCACTCGGCTGTCGCTCTTCTCTCTGACATTAAACCCTTTTTGTGCTGCACAAAAGCCTCTCTGGTTCCCATTTGTCCTTTATTTTTTCCTCCGGGGTTAAAAGCCCACAGCGTGCTGAGGGTTCCTTACCGCAGGATCCTCCACGTCTTTAAAACGTGCAATGGGAGTTTAATTGGGGTACTTAACACCATGTCCAGGAATGTTTGTTTAGCAATTCACACGCCATTATCTTCCCCGAGGTTCTAGGTAATTGTTTCTTGCTCTGGTGACACCTCAGGCCCCTCAATCACCACATCGTTTAGCAAGAGATATTATTAACACATCATCGCAGAGTTCCTAAGCTGGTAGGACAACAAAGGGAGGACGAGACCTAAGTTTTCGATTTGTTTGTTGGGTTTAAATGTTCTGCCCGGAGAAGAGAAGCTTCGTGGGGACCTGATTTCACCTTCCAGTGTCTACAGGAACCGACAAAAAATACGGGGAGAAATTATTTCCAATGATCTGGAGGGACAGGACAAGGGGGAATGGATTCAAATTTAAGGGCACGGATTTTAGCTGGGATATTGGGAATAAATTAAATAAAGTTTTGTTTGTAAAGCAGCTTTTGCTTTCCCACCTCTTTCCCACCAGTTGTTGTTAGCCAGGAGTGATTATTTCACAATATGAATAATATTTCATACTTGTTCCCTACAAAAAAAAAATATTACTCATTGTTTATATTTATCTATGGTTAACTCCTCAGTAATTAGCGTGGTGTAACTTAAAGGCAGATCTGCTTGGTACTCACAATTTCTGCACAGGCAAATTTCTCCCAGAGAAGGCCCCAAAGAGGAAGAGAGAGAAGGAACATTGCAAACCACAAATTGATGCACCATCTATTTAATGAGCAAGAAGTGGAATTTAAAAAAAAAAATAATAAAAAGTGATGTGCAGCGTGGGAAAGCAGAATACGGATTAAAATTAATCACTCATTTCGAGGCAGTGCTTTACAGCTGGACAATCGGGTGACATTTTTCACCTCCCTGCTACCACAGAAAGGGAACGCCAGAAGCTCCTGCAGCCCCGTGAGCTCGGGGCAAAGCTGCGGGGGTCAGCAAGCGGCTGGGCTCAGTCCTGCATCCGGATCGAGCTTTCCACCTCCTGCTCATCCCTCCCCGAGGCTGCCCCGAGGCTTCCTCAGGGCCCACCGCGGTTGGGGCGCCGGTAGGACCTGCCATAAAGCCCCCCCAAAGCGGGGTACCCCAAAGCGCCGAGCCCCGAGGAGCTGCCCGAGTTGATGGGGACCCCCCCGGCGCTCAGAGCATCCCCGACGGCGGCGGAGGCCGAGGATCCCACGGCGGTGTTCTGCGGGAAGGAGCTGAGGATGGGCCCGGGCAGGGTGACCACCACAGGGGATGGTTGGATCACGTAGGTGGAGTCCTGGCACTGCCGGACACAGGGCTCGGTGCAGCTGTTGGCCAGCGGCGTGGGGCCGCAGGACGTGGGGACACAGAGGTCGGAGCAGGACATGGCTGTGGGGGTGTGAGCCCGGGATTCTGGAATGCAAGGAGGGAGTTGTAATTAGGCGCTGCGGTTAAGCTGTTGTGGTGATGGAGTGCGTGGAGAACGGAGTGAAGGGTTGGTCCGGGCTTGAAAGGAGATTTCAGTGATGCCCGGAGCTGTCCGCACCACAAAGAGCAGCTCCACCTCCCCCTGAGCGGCTCCTTCCCCACCGCACTCCTCCTGCAGCCCTGAAACAAGTGGGGGAGTGAGGCAGAAAAGCAAGGAAAAGCTGTCTCCCCCAAAACAGAGGGGAAAAAACTCCAAAAAACTCCCCAGCAAGTAAAAACGAGGAGCAGAAATTTCACCGTGAGGGTGGTGAGGCCTTGGCACAGGTCGCTCTGACAGAGAGAGAGATCAGGAATTCCCTCCGGAGACCTTTCAGACCCTCCTGCCCAGGAGTCGCCCTGTCCGGAGTCGTTCCAAACCCTCTTGGAGAATTTTCCTGTGTCCCCCTGCTCCGGGAGATCTCCAGAGCTCCTTCCAACCCCGAATATTCTGTGATTCCACCCCGAGAGCCAAAAGCTCTGCGCAGGTTCCCCCACATCCACTCCCAGCTGCTGAGCAACGCTTGCAGCTTCTTGGAAGGGAAAGATTTGGGTGACACAAAGGAAAAAAAATCCCGGGTCAGCGCAGGAACAACCTCCACCCTTCAGAGATTGGAGAAAAAGCTGCTTCGAGGATTCCCCAGCGACGTTTAAAGAGCACAAACCTCGGGCTGCTACAGACAAGCAGCAGAAGAATAAAACACAGAGGCAGCAACAATGCAGGAAAATGGGAAGCAGATCAAGACTTACCCTTTTCTCCAAGGAGAATAAAGCAGGAGTGGTTTGAGCTCCTCTGACCGGGCTGGTTTTATACCCTGGCCCAGAGAGCCCCTGGGGTTGTGCTTGTAGCTCATTAGCAGCCAATTGCTAACGATTCCTCTTATGCAAAATACCCCTGGCTGGGGATTTACTTTTCCTCTCCGTTTGTGTTTCTTGTGGATTTCATTTCCTCCCCGGTAATGTACGCATTCCTTCAGAGAGGTTTCTTTTATCCTCAAACCTTACGAGCCTCAGAGGCTGATTCATCTGGGTTACTCAGGAAATTATTTTGCATCCTAAGGAACCATGACACGGATGGATGAAACCATCAGGAAAAGCTGCGGTGAACTTCCCTGTGAAATCCACCAGGGCGCAAGTTTTTGGCACTCGCTCTGAAGAGGGCAGAAATTCCTATTCCTGCCTCACAACGTCACCAAATTCCTCTCAAACAGAGAGAGACACACACAAAAACAGAGGAAATAAAATTGTTAGGAAGCATTTGGAGCTGATTAAACTCTCAAAGGTACTGGGATGTGCGTTGAGGTTTTATTTTCTTGACTCAGCATGGAAGAGGATCAGCATCTGATCCTTCTTCATTAAACCACCACACTCCCATGCTGGAATCTGAGGCACAATTTGGGAGCTGAGCGTCCAAATCCTTCATCTCAGGAGTCTCCAGGCTGGGCTTTCTCCTTAGATCAAACTGCAGGACAACGATTGAGGTCATCTGGAAGATGCCTGAGAATTTGGGGTTGCTCAGACACATTCAAAGCCTTGCCCAAGCTCATCTTTGGGGTCATCAAAGACGCCAAACCCTTTTACACCTTCTAAATTAATACTTTCCACTGCCGTGCCTTGCACCATTATGCAAAATTGTTCCCTAAATTAATAGCGGTTATTTAGAGTCGTTTATGATGTTCCTGTTCCTTTGGTTTTGTTTTCTTTCCTCTTTGAAAGGCGATTCTGGCTTTCACTTTGCCCGTCTCAGGGAGCACCTCAGCGTGCAGCAATTCCAGTTCCTTTTCAAAGGCAATTCCCAGATTAAAAAGTCGTTGCAGACAATGCAGGAGCAGACTGGAGGGCAGGGCTGAGCATTCCAAGCTCTCCTTGTGTTTCATCTCCCAGGCAGAGACAGGCAAATCAGCCCCGAACCGGGAGTATCTTCCCCAGCATCTCCTGGGAAATAAACGCCGCTTGGAGACTTTGGAAGAGCAGAAACCTTCAAAGTTCCCAAAACATTTCCCTCGATCACTCAGACATGCAAATGGGGGATGATCAGCAAATGGGCAGGGACGGACTCTCTGAACATGACCAGGGGTTCAAAAGGGTGGCCACGATCCCTGATGGATCCCTGATGGATTCCTGATGGATTCCTGATGGATCCCTGATGGATCCCTGATGGATCCCTGATGGATTCCTGGTGGATCCCTGGTGGATCCCTGATGGATCCCTGGTGGATCCTTGAGGGATCCCTGATGGATCCCTGATGGATCTCTGATGGATCCCTGATGGATCCCTGATGGATCCCTGATGGATTTCTGATGGGTTCCTGATGGATCCCTGATGGATCCCTGATGGATTTCTGATGGATCCCTGATGGATTTCTGATGGATTCCTGCTGGATTCCTGATGGATCCCTGATGGATCCTTGATGGATCCCTGATGGATTCCTGATGGATCCCTGGTTGATCCCCGATGGATCCCTGATGGATCCCTGATGGATCCCTGATGGATCCCACAGACTTCCCCACCGGCTCCAGCGCTTCCACCTTGTCCTTGAAATACAAACCAGAATTTGCACAGTTCCAGCCGTGACTCCCTGGATGTCCCCAGTTTGGGATGACCCCCACGATGGGTGGGAACTTTCCCGTCCCTCAGGACTGAGCAGAATTTCCCAAAGTTCTCGCTGCCCACAGAGAAATGTTAAAAAATTGCTTGTCCAGAGAAGCTGCAGCTGTCCCTGGACCCCTGGAAGTGTCCAAGGCCGGGTTGGAGCAGCCTGGGCTGGTGGAAAGTGCCCCTGCCCAAGGTTTAGATGATTTTTAAGGCCCCTTTCCCACCCAAACCATTCCATGATTCCCTGACTTTTCCTTTACAACAATAATTATTTACCGACTCTGAGAGCAGCTTGTGGTTTAAAACCACAACTCATCAAAAGCTGCAGAGAAGATAAAAAGAGCCCAAATTCCTCTTCTAAAGGTGATCCTAAGTCCAGCTCGTCTGGCTGGCTCCATCTCCTCCTCCCAGGAGCCAAAAGCTTCGGGATGTCGCTCATGGGAATATTACAAGGAGCAGGGACCTGAAATCTCCTTATCAAGGCTGGAATTGCACACTCAGGACTCCGATTAAAACTCTGCCGCGGCTGGAGCTGCTCCCAGGTGTGTGCCCAAAACGCCAGAAGCCCTAAACAAATCGGATTTTGACTCATCCCCGCTTTGGAAGGCGGAGTCGGCGCGATGGAGTCGGGAATATTTAATGGATGCAAAGCCGGGAGATGAAAGCGGCCTGGCGGGGTCGTGGGTTTTTCATCCGTGCCCAGGATAAACCCATAATAAACATAAACAGTAAACAAAGCAATTTCCCTGCCGGGAACGCGGCCAAATGCAAAGCAAAGCCGCAATTCCCGCAGGGAATGAGTAATAAAAGGTGCGGGAATGTCATAAAAGCTCTCCAGAGCCTTCCTGCCTCTTCCCTTCTCGCCCTAAACCCAGGAGATGCTGCAGCTCCGGCTTCAGCTTGGCAGAATTTGGTGCTGAGATGGATTTTCGCTGATGATAAATACTTCTGCAAAAACACCTCGTGGTATTTTTAATTTCAGTGGGACCAAGTTGTTGCGGGTCTCCAGAAGAAATCCTTCCCTGTGAAAAACATTCTAGCACGATATCCCCCGAATTTACGAATAAATCACTTTCTAGCTGGCTGCAAACCCACCCAGATTTCCCTTTTTTCCCCTCAGAATTGTGCTTTACTTGCTGCCGCACCAAGCTTTAGCCCAAAAAGGCGGTTTGGGACAGGAATGAAGGGGACAAGTGATGCTTTAGGCTCGCATTTTATTTTATTTTTAAAAGTTTGACCCCTCTGATGCGATTTCTGAGTGCTTGGAGTAAACACCCTAACTTCGAGGGGAGTTTTTGTGCAATCTGGGAAGGGGCTTGGTTCAATTAATGAGAAGGGTATTGCAAGAATAAAGAAATTAATTTTGTCATGGGAAATAACCACCTGAACATGTCCAAGGCACCTTCTCAGCAGCGCCTCAGCCACAGCCCCTTGGAGCCCTTTGGACCTTTTGGAATTCATCACCTTTAATCAGGGAACAGCTTCAGTTGAGATGGCAAAAAACATTAAATTAAACATTTAATCCAGACCAAACTCCTCCTGTAATAGAACATCAAACTGCCAGCTTTCCACTGTCTTCTGGTGCTTATTAAGAAAAGCCTCCTCCTTAAAATTATTAATTCTTTCATTTACCTCCTTTAATTTCATCCCACTAATGACTGCAGTCGGCACAACCTCATCAACATCTTTAATTACAGTTCAGCCTCATTCTGGACAGGCAGACAAAGACTCCAAGCCAGACTTTTCAGAGATATCAGGAGTTTTAGAGAAGGTTGAGTCACCCGGAGCCTCCAGGCGAAGCTTTCCAAACCTTTTTCCTTCAGGGAGCAAAGCTCCGGAGTCTAAACAGCGCCTTCATCCCAATCCGGGAGGAACAAAGCCTGGAAAAACTCAGCTCAGCCAGACACAACGGCTTAAAACACCCCAAGAAAGGCTTAGAACTAAAAATAATTAAAATTTTAGTCCTTGAATCTCTTTGTCTCAGACTTGCTTCCCATCCCAGCGAATTCCAAAGGGAGAAACACTTCCCATCCTTCTGTGCCTCCCCTCCCGGACTCACCGGGGGCCGAGCTCAGCTGTCCCCAGACAGCTCCAGGCTGTCCCCAAACAGCTCCAGGCTGTCCCCAAACAGCTCCAGGCTGTCCCCAAATCCCGCCCCGGCTGCTGCTGCTCTCCCTCCGCACTTCCCTGCGGAATCCCAGCTCAGCTCCCTTCTTTTGGAAGGCTTTTCCCCAGGTCTCACACCTTTTAAAATTCCCTGTTTATGCCCCAGCAGGCGGCCCCCACTGCAGGGTCCCCCCCTTTGAAAAGGGGGCTCGGCTTTTAGAAGTTTTCCACCACTGGAATCTGGCTCGTTCTCCTCCGAAATTATTTGCGCGCTGTTTTCTGGAAGGGGGGAGCTTCCAAAGGCACCGGAAAAGGGGCTGGGAGAGCAAAGAAGGCCAGGCAGACTCGGAGGGTGATGCAGCACGAATTTAATGGGTTGAGGAAGGGAAGGAAGCAACGTAAAAGTCAGGAACGCGTTTCCATGGTCCGGTAAGGACAGAACCCACTCATCCCCCACTCAGCAAGTGGAAATTTTCCTTCTTCGCTGATGAATGACCTGTGCTAATCCAGCCATGCAGAACAATCGCTAACAATTAACATTTCGCCTATTATCAAATACAAAAAAAAAAAGAAAATAACAAAACCCAAACAAAACAACCCAAAACAAAACAAAAAGCGGGACAAGACATTCAATCAGAGAAAAGCACAACAAAACACAAGCAAAGGCCTGGCTTGGGGGGATGTCGAACTCCCGCAGCTCCTTTAACTCCAGGCTGGGGGTGTCTGGCGTGGCATCCAAAAAGCGCGGCCGGGAGCTCAGTCCTGCTGCAGGAACGGCTCGGGGTTCGGCATTCCTGCTCTTCTTCCTCCTCCCGCCTTAGCAGGGCCCGTAGAAGCCGCTGCGGGAGGGGTTGTAGCGCCGGTAGGGCCGGCTGTAGCCACTGCCCAGCCCGGGGTAGCCAAAGCCCCCCAAGCCCAAGGAGCTGCCCGAGTTGATGGGGACCCCCCCGGCACTCAGAGCGCTCCCGACGGCGGCGGAGGCCGAGGATCCCACGGTGGTGTTCTGGGGGAAGGAGCTGAGGATGGGCCCGGGCAGGGTGACCACCACGGGAGACGGCTGGATGACCACGGTGGAGTCCTGGCACTGCCGGACACAGGGCTCGTTGCAGCTGTTGGCCAGCGGCGTGGGGCCGCAGGACGTGGGGGCACAGAGGTCGTAGCAGGACATGGCTGTGGCCAGAGGGAGTTCTGGAATACAGGAGCCACATTTAGCAGGACAACAGCAGTTCCCAGTATTGAGAATTGAGGAGGAAACCGGATTTTTAGTGCTTTTCGTGCTCTGGTGAATTTTTTGCTTGGGCTGTGGCGGGACGCGTTCACGCCACTCTGAACAGGCCCAAGAATTCACTGCTGGTATTTAAGTGCAGCTGCACAACTTTAAAAATTCCTTGGATCCCAAAACTGGATCAATAACCCATTTAATAAGTTACCCATTTAATAAATTACCCATTTAATAAATTGCCCATTTAATAAATAACCCACAGACATTTAGCTAACGTGGCTAACTAATGATTTTTATAACTCCCCACCAACAGAAAACTCCCTTTTTGGTATAAAATCCCTTCCTCCCTCTGAGAAAAAACTGCCGCAGCGGGAGTGAGGGGAAAAACTACGGAATCAAGGCAGAAGTTGGTTGTATGAAGAGAATAAATAGGTTCAAACTCACCTTATTCGCGATGGCCAAGGAGGGAAGAGAAATGGCTGGGAGAGCCTGGAGTTGCTCAGGTTTTTATACCGAGTTTTGAGTTGCCCAACGACTTGGGCCACTCTTTGTGCAAGAAGTGATTTATGGGCCACGACTGATTACAGGCTTTTTTATTTATTTATTTATTTATTTTGCCTCAGTATTTGTGTTTTTTACTGCTTCACTTCCTTATCTTGTGGTTTGTCTATCTGACCACAAGGTGCTTTCATCTTAAAGCATTCCGGGACAGGTTCATTCCTGGGAACACTGCAGTGATTAATTCAGCAAGATTTATGCAGCCTTCAAACCCCTTTGGGATCTGCTTGGTGTCATTAAAGGAGATGAGGCCTCATTTGCATAATGAAGGTGAATCCTGGGGGAATTCACGGCGAGTTGCAGATTTTGGGGAGTCAAGCCGTGAGTATTCAATTTATTTTTTTTTTGACTTTTCGCAGAATCCCGGGATCCCTGAGGTTGGGAAAGACCTCCAGCATCATGGAGTCCAAGCTGTTCCCAATCCCAGACTCGTCACCAGCCCATCCTTTCCTTGGACCCCTCCAGGCATGGAGAAGCTCTCCAGGAATGGGAGAAGGAATTTTTCCATGGAAGGCACCACCCAGGGAGGGTTGGAGCCCCCATCCCTGGAGCTGTCCCAGGAACGCGGCCACATCTCAGGTGCCCGGTTGGGGGATCAACCACAGGTTGGGATTGATGATGCCGGAGCTCTTTTCCAACCCCAAATCCACCAGCAGTCCTGGATTCAGGGATTAACCCCGAGGTTCTTCCTCTCCGTTCTTCCACTCCCGAGACACGTAAATCAGATTTAAATCAGCGCTGTCTCTGCGGGGATCCCCTGGGAAGAGAAACTCGTTTGGTTTGGGCAGAGCTTCCTGAGGACTTCAAAGTTTATCAGCAGCTTTATTGGAGTGCCACCATGCAAATGTCCCATCCCGGGCACATTTCAGATCCCTGACCTAGATCTGGGTTCTTGTATTTTATTTAATAACACGTTACGAAGATTTGGGGGTGCAGGGCAGTAATTGGGCCGTGAAATTGCTATCATTGTTTCTATCTGCAGGAATTACAGCTGCTTTATTTTAAATAAAAAGTTCAAGGTTTGGTTTGAGCCATCTCATATTTCAAGAGGATTCTCAAAAGAAAAAATTCCTTGTCTGTTTTTAGCTCTATAAATATTTCTCCATATTTTAAAATATTTCCTCTCTAGGAGTTAGTTGAGGAATTAATTTGCATCACACCATCCACAGTTTATTTTCATCTTTTTTAAAAAATTTTCCTCATTCTTTTTATTCCTCCTTCATCTGAGCTTTGCTTGGAAAACGCAAAACACGTTTAAAATCCAGCTGTGAATTTAAAAACGGATCTGGCAACATTTGCAGATCTTTTTGGAGCCTTGTAAATTACAAAAAATATTGTTCTAACTCCAGCCTTTATTTTATTGCACGCTCAGAATGACTTACTGGCCTGATTTTGAGATGAATTAAAGCGAGCGAATTAAGAGTTCAGAGATTTTTGTCATCAAGGCCAGACTTAAATATTCAGATTACAATCAAGACATTTTGCATAATGTGAGAGCATCCTTCTGAGACACCTGTGAGTGACTAAACGTCTGAAAAAAAAGTGATTTTTAATCAAAATGTAAAATAAAGTCTCCAGGCACAGAAGTGACCCCAAAATCCATGGAGAAGCAGATGGAATTTTTCTGGCGGGAGTGGCATCTGCGATTCGTTTCGGATTGAAATTAATTAGCTTAAGAAGAATTAGTGGCACAGGGAGATGTGAAATCCTCCATTTTCACACCTGACTGGAGCTCATCTCGCTGTTAATTTTATTCAGATTCTGTCACGAACGGCTTTAAAATCACCCAGGTTTGAGGTTTGATTCGGCATCTTACTCTGGACTTATAAACTTCAAAAAATTTCTGTTATGATTTCTGGTTTTGTCCAGAAATTAATGTCACTCACTCCTGGAGGGACCTTTAGAGAATTCCTGCAAGGAGCTGGGGTTGTGTGGAATTCCCAGCTGGAATTCTGCTTGGACCAGCAGAAAACAGCACCAAAAATTAATTCACACTCGAGGGGAGAAATTATTTACTCACCAGAAGCTCTGCAAAACAACACGCCCAAAAAAGGGAGGGCTTTGTTTGTTTTTCAGACCTGTTTTTCGCCAGCCTTCAAATGCAGATTTTTAATTACCTTTCAAATGGGATGAGTGCAATTAGCGCTGCCCTGGGCGCCAGCTCCACCTTCCTCACAGAAGGACTTTTGGTGCCACCAAGGCTGGTGGATGTGGGATTCTGATCCATCCCCTGGGAGCCAGGATTTGCCTGGAATAATCGGGATAAACCTTTTCTTTTCCATGAGAAAACCTGGTTTTTGCTGCCATCGCATCCCAAATCCCCGATTTCCCGTTTATTTCCTTCGCTCATTCAGGAAGGAACATCTGGACCACGGGATACCTTCCACCACCCCAGGTTGCTCCAAGCCCTGTCCAGCCTGGCCTTGGACACTTCCAGGAGTGGGGAATTCATGGAATAACCTGAGCCAGAGCCTCCTTACCCTCGCAGGGAACAATTCCTTCCCAAAATCCCATCTAAACCCCCTTTCTGTCATTCTGAAACAGAAATTCTTCCTGCTCTTGCCCAAAGTCCTTCAGATCCCTCAGATCCCTCAGGTCCTGGAAGGTCCCAGTGAAGCCACCCCAAAGCTTCTCCTCTCCAGGCTGAATTCCTGCAACCTCTGCTGCCCCTTTTCACTGTATAAAAGAGAGGAAAATCTGGTTAAAAAACCCAGCTTTTTGCTAAAAGTTTCCCAAGTTTTTCCGAAAAACATCAGGAGACTCGGAGTGTGATGCAGCGCGACTTTAATGAGAGCAAAACAGCGGAATAAAAAAGTACAAAGTGTGGGGAGACATTTCTGCCATTCAGCAAGAGCTGTTACAGCTTTTCATCCTGGGATTCTTCTCTCTGGACTGAGACCACAAAGCGACAGGAAATAAAATTATTTCGTCAGAAATATCAAAGAACAAGACAAGCAAAGGTTTGAGGAGCTCCCACAGCTCCGTGAACCTCGGGCGGAGTTGTGGGTGTCTCCCACCACATCTGGAGCGGGATCCAGGGGTGCTCCGGCATTCCCGGGTGTTTTACCCCACTTTTCCCTTAGCACGGCTCCCCAAAGCGGGAGCCATAGCGGCGGGAGGGCCGGCTGTACCCAAATCCCCCAAACAACCCCCCAAATCCTGAGGAGGAGCTCCCTGAGTTGATGGGGACCCCCTCGGAGCTGAGGGTGCTGCCCACGGCGGCGGAGGCCGAGGATCCCACGGCGGTGTTCTGGGGGAAGGAGCTGAGGATGGGCCCGGGCAGGGTGACCACCACAGGGGATGGTTGGATCACGTAGGTGGAGTCCTGGCACTGCCGGACACAGGGCTCAGTGCAGCTGTTGGCCAGCGGCGTGGGGCCGCAGGACGTGGGTGGACACACCTCGTGGGAAGACATTCCTTGGGCAAGGAATTAAAGGTTGTCAGGGAGCTGCAAGAAAGAGATCTTTATTACCAAAAAAAAAAACCTTATTACCAAAAAAAACCAACCTTTTTAAGGAGTTAGGCCTGGTTTTGATAGCAAGTTTTAAGGAATTAGCGATTGGTCGCGTTCCGCTTAAGCGGCGACAAATGTCATCCAACCGAGCGCCACAGACCGCGAGGTGAGCGGTGCAATGGTTAAATAACAAAATAACAAAAAAACCTACAAAATAACAAATAAAAGAACAACAAAATAACCAAGTAGCAAAATAGCAAAATAACAAAATAGCAAAAAATAAAACAAAATAACAAATAACAAAACAGCAAATAAAATAACAACAAAAGAACAAAAGAACAAAAGAACAAAAGAACAAAAGAACAAAAGAACAAAAGAACAAAAGAACAAAAGAACAAAAGAACAAAATAAAAAAATAGCAAAATAACAAATAAAATGACAAAATAACAAATAACAAATAACTTGTTTTTCTACCTCCGACTCAGCTGAGTTACTTTCCCACAGCCCTTTTCTACGTAGCAGAAGCAGCAGGCCTGAGCCATGATTTTAAAAGGGTAGTGAGGCCCTTATTTTATAAGGTTTTACCTATATGTAACAAAACCCCAATTTCAAAGCTGTGTCAATTTTCTAAAATTCGTCCAGGAGGGTGAGAGATGCCCAAACAGCCACAGAAGGTGGGGAGAGGTCAGCACTCATCAGATCCAACCCCTCAACACCCCCTGCCTGCCATGAAATGCTTTTTTGGGGGGTGGATGTGGATTAATATCGGTGTTCTCCTTCCCTCTGCACTCCCTTTCCCAGGATTTGGGTTTTGTTTCCCCCCTGGACGAGGCATTAAACTGAATTTTGCCCTTTTTTCCTGCCTCCAGTAGCGGTGATTAAACATTCCCTGTGTCATTGCTGGGTTTGAGTTCCTGGAGCAAATGTTGCTGCAAGCCTTTCTTCTGGGTAGAAAGAAATCAATTCCTAATTTCCCTTCAAGGTAAAAAGGAAAACAACAACAACAACAACAAAATACAATAAAAGCAGCCATCAAAGTGGCACTTTAGCATTAAAAAGAGGTTCAGACTCACCTGTTCCCGGGGTGAAGGAGGCAGGAGAAGTGGCTGGAAAAGGCTTCTGTCCTACAGGTTTTTATAGCTCATCCAGAGCCACTTCCTATGCATGGAATTCCATAATGATCCTTCCTTCCGCATGCAAAACCCCCCCGAACTGATCGGCTCCTGCTGTTTCGAAATCTCCCCTTGGGATTTCTCCCTTTTCCTGCTCCCATTCCCATTCCAGAGCTTTCATCTTCATTCCTCTGCTCCCGATTAATTGCTTGGGAGGCTGCGGCGACTCGGGTGAATTACAGCATTCATTAAGTCGCCTCCCGAGGCCAGCGGACCTTTTAGGCTTGGTTTTAGTCGTTAAGACCCTGCTCCAGGGGCGGGTTGTGATGTTTAGTCCTCGTTCAAGACTTCACTCCTTTAGGTGAATAATTCTTTTTTTTTTTTTTTTTTTTTTTTCCCCTTAAGTGGAGCCTCAGCGTTTCATTCCAAGCTTTACCACAAGATGCGGAGTAGATATTCCCAAATTTCCCGCTCCCCACAGCTGAGAGGAGCAGCACTTTTCCCCGAGGATTGCAAAGCTGGAAGAAAATTAAACCCAGAATTGCTGAGCAACACGTTCCGAAATTGCTTTGGCCGAGCCACAGCCAATCCAAACACCCACAATCCTGCATTTCTTTACCCAAACGTGAATTTTAATGTCATTTCCATACTCGAGTCACCCCCATTCCCCCCTCCCGCAATCCTGGGAATTTTCAGGACAAATTAAACTCGAAGCTGGATGTCGGAGATGAATTCAAATTTTGGGGTTTAGAGGCTGTGCGGTGTCAGACGACAGCTTCAGGAGAAGCTGCACCCCGGCTCTTCATCCCATTTGTTTGGCTCGATTTGTCCCTGCTGGAAATTCCTGCACGGGAAGGATGCAAAAGAAAAATAAAACGGGATCGGGAGCACTCAGCAAAAAATAGGAATTCACTCGGAATGAAGAGGCTTTGCACAAAGGCTTCAGAGGAACAAAGGACTTCAAAGCTCCCAACACTTCTCGCTGATGGCTCCAATATGCAAAATTTTGGCTCCCTGAGGTTTCAGGGATGCGTGGAGACCTCAGCGCCCGCATCCCCTGGGTAAGAACTTCAATCAAAGCCGGCGAGTCAGGAGCACTCAAAGGACTTCAAGGTAAAAGCCATCAGAAACTTCAGTTATTTTATTAAACCTTTCTGTATTTTATCTTTAAAATAATAATAATAATAAAATTAATTCAAAACGTCATCTCCTTAAAATCCTTTAACTCCTCCCTTTTTTTCTCCACAAGAAAATTCTCTCATTGTTTGGAGTCTTTTCTACAAGAAGATTCTTCTACAAAAGGTTTTTCTATAAAAGGAGAGTCTTTCTCCTCCTGCTCCTCAAAATCTCCACAACCCGAGAGCCCGTGATCTTTCCAGATTTGTCACAAAATTCATTCCTTCCAGTAGGAATCACTCCCAAGAAAATTTCGCTTCCCTTTCATCGGCAAAACTGTGATAACGCAGGAACGCTTCCTCCTCCTCCTCCTCCTCCTCATCCTCCCTTCCAGGCACAGAAACTGCTCTTGGAGGGGAGATCCCATTTTTGGGAAAGCCTCATTAGCAGCCTGGCAGGGTTTCCAGTTCCCTAATTAACACCCGGAGTTCATCCAGGAGGTTGGGAGCCCTTGGATGGGGAAGCAGGACAGGACAACTCCTGTCGGTGGAATTCCACACTCCCCACACTCAATTAACACCTCCGGAGCTGCCGGCACAGGCGAGGCACCACGGAGTTGACAAATTACTGCGTGAATTGAAATTTGTAGCGTTGTGTTGGCTCCGGAGCCCAGGGTGTGATGGAACAAAGCGCTGAAATGAACCCCAGGTCCCGGAGATGAAAGAAGCTTTGAGGGAGGTTTTTCATCTCAAGCCAGGCTGGTTCATAAACCATGAGCAATTTAACTCCTGGGGACAGCTCAACCTGCTGCAGACATTATTTGTATAACTGAGTTACTGGAATGCCCCAAACCTTCCTAAGAAGAGAATTTCTCCCATTTTTTTCCCCCAAAAACTGAGTGGTTTAGTGCCTTCACTGGATGTTGTAAATCTAATTCAGATCCTGGAGATGCTCCGAGTTCTCCACACTCCAGGCTGAACATTCCCAACATTCCCGACTCCCCCAAATTATTGATGATCTACTCAGTGATAAATCTCACCCCGAAAAAGTTTCAAATAAGAACAGGAGGGGAGGGAAAAAAACCAGCAGGAGACTCAGGAGGTTACGATAAAAGCATCATTTTATTAATCCAAACGAGAGGATTAAAACCCTGCAAAGCACCAGGGGTCGGTGTGGGGGGAAAGGCTCAGCTCAGGGGCACGCGTTCCACAGGCAGAGCTCTTCTTCCAGCGCCCCCTGAGAACCACGTCCCACCCACTCCCTAAATTCAAAACTTTACACCGGGTAGCACCAAATACACCGAGCAGCAGAGCTACAAACCGGGTCAGAAACACGCAGGAGTGAGACAGGAGCGGTGGCCTCATTCCGGGGGCTGACTGACTCCGATCTGACATCGCTTTTGGCACCGGGAGCTCAGTCCTGCTGCAGGAACGGCTCGGGGTTCGGCATTCCTGCTCTTCTTCCTCCTCCCGCCTTAGCAGGGCCCGTAGAAGCCGCTGCGGGAGGGGTTGTAGCGCCGGTAGGGCCGGCTGTAGCCACTGCCCAGCCCGGGGTAGCCAAAACCCCCCAAGCCCAAGGAGCTGCCCGAGTTGATGGGGACCCCCCCGGCGCTCAGAGCGCTCCCGACGGCGGCGGAGGCCGAGGATCCCACGGTGGTGTTCTGGGGGAAGGAGCTGAGGATGGGCCCGGGCAGGGTGACCACCACGGGGGACGGCTGGATGACCACGGTGGAGTCCTGGCACTGCCGGACACAGGGCTCGTTGCAGCTGTTGGCCAGCGGCGTGGGGCCGCAGGACGTGGGGGGACATCGCTCGTAGCAGGACATGGCTCGGGATGAGGTCTGGAACACAGGAGCACACCTGAGTGCAAGGTAGGAGTTGTGTCACACCTGCTCAGTTCAGCTACCACAGCTTTCCGAGGAGCCTTTTAGGAGCTGAGCCACGAGCTGAGGAGGAAACCAAACTCTTAAATAAAGAGAGACAGAGGCTGAAACGTCCTCTGGGTGATGTCGGTGATCCGGGGAAGAACTGGCAGCAGAACAAAAGAGACAAACCTGTATCATTAATTTAATTGTAGGGATTTTGATTGCGCGTCTGGAGAGACCCAGCTCCGCACCCCCAGAGCATTGCAGGAGCAGCAATTAGGAGCGAAACCCAGCCACAAATGTACCTGTGGAGAGATTTCCATGGGCAGCTGGAAAAATGAAAGGGAGGATTCATTTCCAGGCTCCGACTTTGCCTACAAAGAGGTACAAATTTCAATTAGGTACAAATTTTAATGTTTCATTAAGCAGCCTCGGAGAGGAGGTCTTTGAAACCTGTCCCAGACAGCTCGTCCATGGATGTGAGAAAAGGCAGGAATTCCCTGCACATCCCTGAGTTTTATCTGCACCACAGCATTGAAAACAAAATTCTCGGATTTCTAGGGGATGCTCAGCTCTGCTCTGGTTTTCCCCTTCTCTCCCTTTATCCCCACAGTCCCTGATCCAAACATTCCAGGAGATGTCATTGCACTCTGGAACAAAATCTCCACACTTGGAAACCCAGCTAACGTTCCAGGATGGAAAAGACCCTCCAAGATATAAAACGCTGCTGAAATATAACTGAACTCCTGGATTTTCTGTTTTGATGAACAGTTGGAGTTTAAAAGGACCTCTAAAGATCCCAGAGTTCCAACCCCTTGCACAGTTATTCCACCCATTCAATTTGTTCATCTTTATTAGTTCTAATATTTTCTATGTCATTTAACGTGACTGAAATCCCACATTTGAATAAATTTCTATCACCAGTTCAAGGATCTCTGTAACCAAGTCAGGACTCCAGAAATTCCACGATTCCAACAGCAAACCCCCAACTTTTTAAAGAGAAAAAGTCTCCCTCCCACCCAAAGAATCCAGCAACCAGCAGAACACTGTGAGGGGAAAAAAACTCAGATTATTAAAAGGCAAGAACTCAGCAAACAGAGAAAGAGAAGTGGATTTGAACTAACCTTGCTCACAAAAGAGGAAAGAGGGAAGAGAAGTGGCAGGAAGGAGTTGGGTTGAGTTGGTTTTTATACCTCAGCCCTGATGGCCTGGGGACCACAGACAGCCTTTGTACCTGGAATTAATTCCCAACGAGTATGTCCTGAATGTCAAATGTTCCCCCTGATTAAATGTCTTTTCCTCACTGCTTATTTACTTTGTTTTTATTTCCTTATCTTCTGACAGACAGATTCTGTCCCGCAGGTTTCTCTCATCTCGGGAATTAGGGACCAAATTTATTCCAGAGCCACCTTTCAGTCACAACAAAATCCAGACTCCAGCGTATGTTTGACTTTAGTCATAAAGAAAAATACTAAGAATGTCTATAATACATAATTCATCATTCCAAGGTGTTCTTTTATTAAGGGTATGAGTGTAAATCCTTAATAAATTCCTGTCTCCTCCGATGCTCACCAGGCTCTGCCTCCAGCCCGGCGTCGGAACAATCTCAATTCTGGGTTTGGGGAAGGCTAAAGAGCACATCCAGCCCTGAGATCCCACAGAATCCAGGCAGGAAGTGCCAGAATTGTGGAATTCAGAGACAAATTCCTGCTTTATCCCACACAATTCGGATGTTTTTATGCTGTTAAATTGGGGTAACGCAGTTTGGGGCACAGATGGAAGAACGAGGGGAAATTTAATCCTGGTTTATCAGTTCTTTTACAAAAAGGAACCTCCAAGATCCTTGTGCACCATCCCAGCTCACAAACACCAGCAGAGTCATGGAATCACGGAATGTTTTGGGCAGGAGGGGACCTTAAAGCTCATCCTGTGCCAATCCCGTGATCCCAGGTTGCTCCAAGCCTCGTCCAGCCTGGCCTGGGACAATTCCAGGGATGGGGAATCCATGGAACCAGGGGGTCGCCACCCCCACAGGGAAGAATTCCTTCCCAAATCCAACCTAAACTTCCCCTCTTCCAGTTTTACCCCTTTTCCTCCTTGTCCTGTCACTCCAAGCCCTTGGAAATTCTCTCCCCATGTTTCTTTTTGGTTCACAATTAGGTCACCCCAAAGCTTCTCCAAGCTTGGAAAAGTCCTCAGATATTTTTTTTTTTCTTTTTGGAGATGTGAACATTTTAATTGAGGATTGTTTGTAACTGGGTCAGACTGGGAATGGCACACAAAGGAGTTTTGGCTCCTCTTGGATTTGGTCTTGGATCCCAAGGCAGCCACAAGTGAACAAATTGCTGAGGAGCTGGAAAAAAATTGTCTTTATTAGACTGTGCTTGAAGTAATTCCATGTTGCCATTATTAAAGCCGGTCTAAAAGTACCAGAAATAAAAAGTACCCATAAATTGGGAAGATGAAAGAATTTTTAATGGGTGGATGATGCTTCTCACGCAATGCCAGCCTAAACCTAGACTGGAAAACAAAAGCAGGACAATTCCTTTATCAAGAAAAGGTTCCACTTGCAAAAATATGTGTGGGAACTAATTAATGCAAAAAAAAATAAAAATAAAAAGATGCTTTAACCCCATAAAGTCAAAAATATCCACCCCTCATGCCCCTCATTTGCATCGTGGGATTAATAGATAAAATAGATTAAATAGCTAAAATAGATAAATAGATTAGATTAAATAGATTAAATAGATTAAATAGATTAAATAGATTAAATAGGTAAAATAGATTAATCTGTTGGTGGTAGATACAGAATACACGTTTTCAAATCCCCCTATAAATGTTTTAATAAATTTAAATAAATACTATTTTTTAAAAATAAAACCAGATTTAAACTGACTTTTGAAACCCCCATATTACCAATTTAACACCATCATAAAATTGTTACAGCACAGAAACCTTCTACGTAACATTTTTATCAGCAAGTGCCACATCTGAGGTGTCACTTGGCCACGAGTATTTGTTTTTATTTGTAAAAAACTAGAAAAAAATAATCTCTTCACAAATATAACCACAGCGGTTCTGCCACCCGCCAACGCCCGCCGCCCTCGGATTCCTCGGGAATCCCAGGGAAGAACTCATCCCACCAGCCCCTCCGATCATTTGTTTGGAAAATTTGCCCCTTGGAAAGCTCTTTCCAAGCCCTCCTCTCAGCCTGGGACGTTTTAATTTTCCAGCTTTTGGGTTTTTTGGGTGTTGCTGCCCTGAGCCGTGGATGGAAAGCAGAGGGGCGGCTCCGATCTCCGCTCTCAGCGACCAGGGAGTGGCTGGAGCTGTGCCAGGGAGATTTGGGCTGGATATTTGTGGAAAATGTCCCAAAAACCCAAGAGCTTTCCCTCGAGCTCCTCAAATATTTATATCTCAGCTCCAGGGTGATTTAATTTTCAAATAGATTTTATTTCACGGTTTTAGTCTTCTTGGATCCCTTTGCTTCTGCCTTATTAATATTCATTCAGATTCTCAAGGGTTTCAAAGATGCCAAATGGGGGACAAGATCTGAAATCCCTCAAGCTTAAACATCAAAATTGTACTTTTAGATATATAAGTGGGATAAAAAAATTGGGGAAAAATATCCTAGAAAGAGAAATATATTTCTGAACCTGTTCAGTGCCTCTCAAGAGTGTAAGAACCAACAAAATTATTTTTATCAGGTGAGTTGTGGTGATTTTTGGATGCACATTTTCCCCTGTGAAATCCTTGCATAGATTTTCACATAATTCTGCCACCAGGGGAGGTGAAAAGGAGATAAAAACCACAATGAGACTCGAAATCGGATGCAACATCTGTTTAATGATAAAAAGTCAAGTAGCATTCAGCAAAAACAAAGGGAAAACATATCTTTATGAAGGGAATAGAAGCCACTGACACCATTCCAACTGAGAGACAGCAAGCAAGATTCCACCTTTCTGTAATTCCAGAGTGAAACCCCTCCACTGGCTGCTGGCGATTACAGCATTAAACCACGTCAGCATGAAATGCAAAATCACAAAGACAAAAAGGAAACTCTTCAAAAGCAGGGCTTTCAAGGCTGAAACAGGTTGGCCACGTGTCCAGACAGCACCTCCCTCCCTCCCTCCATGGCAGGAGGAGGGCTCGAGGGGGCCCAAGGCCTCTGGAAACGCTGGCCAGCAGCTGTGGCCTCAGTGCGGCCCCTGGCCTGGGGCTTCCTGGCGGAGGCACTGGCTGGACGTCCGGCCCGGCTCTAGCAGGGCAGGCACCTGCGGCCACAGTAGCGGCCACCAAGGCCAGAGAGCCCCGAGAGCCCAAAGCCCCCCGAGTTGATGGGCACTCCCTCCTCGCTCAGGATGTTGCCCACGGCGGCGGAGGTGGAGGATCCCACGGCGGTGTTCTGGGGGAAGGAGCTGAGGATGGGCCCGGGCAGGGTGACCACCACGGGAGAGGGCTGGATGACCACACGGGAGTCCTGGCACTGCCGGACACAGGGCTCGTTGCAGCTGTTGGCCAGCGGGGTGGGGCCGCAGGGCCGGCACAGGTCGTAGCAGGACATGGCTGTGGCTGGAGGAGCACCTGCAGAGAGGGCAGGGAAAGCACCCCAGGAATGTCAGGCACAGATGGAGATGCTGCTGGGCAGCAGGAAACGCAGCCGGGGCACAAGGGACAGACTCCAGAGGGATGCAGGGAGGAACTCAACAGCCCTGACGCCAAAGTGTTCCCAGCAAAGGAATCCCAACATCTCCCACCTGTCCCCAGGGAAAAACAACCACAGAAACCTGGTGAGAGCAGGATGGAGGAGGAAGACTCTCAGAGACCGCTGCAGAGAAGCAAAGATTCCATTGAGGTCCGAGGAAAAAGGGAAGAGAAAGAGAAGAGTGAGGCAAAGGCCCTTGCAGCTCACCTGTGTCACCGAGGAGGAGAAGGCAGGAGAGCTGGATGAAGGATCCTGTGCTTGCTCTGCCTTTTATACCGTCCCGCACAGCCCCGGGCCCAGACGCGCCTTTGCACAGGGAAGGTGTTTACCAACAAGCTCATATTTTATGCAAAACATCCCCAATTAAGTGAACTGGAGGTTGTTTATGTTCCCTGCAACGCTGCCTTTTCATTTCCTTGTGCAGGACATGCCCATTCAGCCAAACTGGCTCCTTTCAAGTGCCAGCATTAGAGGCCAAAATGTTTTTAGGGTGTTTTTCAGCCAGAAGCAGGCTGATGTTTCAGCCAGCTGGGTGGAGTGGTGCCGTATTTCCAGGTGATGTCAGCACCTTCCCCTCCTGAGGCAGCTCTAAGCCTTTGGAGTAATAAATGCAGTTTTTTTTATTATAAACCCAGGATTAAAGGGCTGGCTTTGGCGGGGACTGGCCGTAGACATTGCTCTCTGTGACTCCAAGGCCTTTCAAGACTTCTTAGACATCATTTATTCATCAGGGAGACTAACATGGGTTGTTTTTGAACTTTCTTTGGGATCTCATATTGCCTTTGGAAGAAATTATCTCGTTTCTTCTGCCTTTCACCTCTTTCAGCATTGCCTGGAGTTCTCCAGTCTGCAGAACAGGACGGCTCCAGAAGGAAGGACGCTCCTTTCCCAAGAACAAATATTTGTCAGGGTTATTATCTTGCAGAAAACACTCCCTAATGAGAACATCTGAATCAAAACTCTTCCTTCTTCCATTCCTCACGGCCATCCCTCCACTTCTTTTCCCCCTCTGCCTCTGACCAGAGCCTACACACAGTCCCAACCACTCAGGAATATTTCCAAGCAGGACACAGAGAGTCCCTGCGGGCTGGCAGTGCCAGGAAACCCAGCCTGGGGAGCAGTGGGGCCGGGATGTCCCCAGAGATGCACGGAGAGGCAAAGATCCCATGCTCTGGGCTGCATTTCCTGGGGCAAGACAAGAGCTTGTGTCTCCAGGAGCGGTGACAGCCCTGCTCAGGCACCAGCTGCAGGACTGTGACACCCCTTGTGGCAAAGGGGGAAAAACTCCTGTCCCAGCGAGGCTGGAGCTCCATCAGAGACAGAAAAATCTTAAATCCCAGAGGTCCAAGCCAGATTCCTCATCCGGGAGGATGAAGGGAGCTCTGAGGGTTGGCAGGAGACTTTTCTCCAAACGAACACAATCAGAAGAAAACCCCAGGTGTGACAGGGCAGATCTAACACAGAGATTTCCTTCAGAACACACATCACGTTTCCCTCCGGGGCATTTCCACTTAAATCCCTGCTGCAGGCAAAACACTGAATGCAGCAAAGGCATTTCCAGCCCTCTCTCCATCTCCCTGACCCAGCCCTCCCCACCGAGGGTCTCCATAAAGCCTCGAGTGTCCTCACCCACCCACCCCACTCTCTCAGGGGTGTCCTGGGGGTGTTGCCTCCCTTCCCTGGCTCCATTTTGACCTTGTTGCTGCCAATGTCCCCTCCTGGCTTGGACAGGCATGGGAGGGCATTTCCACAGCTGATAAAGAGGCAGAGGAACTCGGCAGGATTGCTTTATTTCAGACACTGAAGCCCAAAATAGGGCAGAGGAGCAGCCCTTGACTGTCACTGCAGGGCCAGGCACACCCCATTCCTCGGGGAAAAACACTCCACAGAAAGCAGGAAAGGAAAACTGGACGTCACATTGCTGCTGGCGGTTGCACTGTCAGGCACATGTCCCTTCAGCTCCTTTGGGACTCCCTTTGCTTCCAGACTTTGGGATGAATGCTTGGAGGAAGGGAGGGAAAGCTCCAGTTGTAGGTGCTAAAGCACAACCATGGCCTTGGGCAGCTGGGTGAAACTGCCACAGAAACCATCGGGTCAGTGGCTTGACACGTCAGCTGGAAGCTGTCCCCAACCTGTGTCCTGTCCCCTGGGGCACCTCCTGGTCACTCTGTGCACACTCACACCAGGCCACGCTCCCTGCACTGCCCCAGGCGCTTTCAGGGACTGCGGTCCTTGCAGCTTCTCACCTTGCCCAGGTGTGGAAAGGGCCATCCCTGGTCTTTAACCACCCAAACCCCCCAGGGCATCACAGCCCCCACGGAGCAGCTGGGCTGCACATGCCGGCAGGACAGGAACTCCAGGAGACTCCAGTTCCAATGCAGAGTGAACTTTATTTTGAGTGTGAAGGCTTGAAGGAAGCAGGGGGTGGGCAGGGCCATCCTGGCCAGCAGTGGGACACACGTCTGCCTGGCCCAGGCACGGGGACAGCGGCAGCAGCAGGACCCCGCCGCGCTGGCCTGGGGCTGAGCCCCTGGGCCGGCAGAGCAGGGCCCAGCAGGGCCTGGGGAGGCACAGGAGAAAGCAGGACAAGCAGAAGGCTCGGCTGGCCATGCTTGCCTCCCTCCATGGCAGGAGGAGGGCTCGAGGGG